TTGAAGCTTTCGAAATTTTAGTAACATTTACTTTAGACATACACTTCACTTTCAATGTTGTATATGTCTGAATTATACTTATAAGTATAATAGCTCTGTTTAAACTAAAGAAGAGTAGTGAGAGTTTTTTTCTTCGGTCAATGTTACTTAGGCATTTATTTTTTGACATTTTCATCTCAACATTTTTTTCATTCACATCTATTTTTTAGCATTTCCTTTTCAATATTGTTCCACCAGATCTGTTTTACTGATAATTGTTTCAATCAAATTACATTTCTTCGATTACAACAATGCGACGATATCTGATTCGAATTGTGGTAGCACTGTAAGCAATTATGTCATGATTATTCAATGATGTTATACACATTTATTTTTAGATATGTGATCCATATTGTCACTGGTATGAGAAACTCATTTTATTATTTAGACATATATTCAAGTCATTTTTGTTAACTCTGTTAATTCTTGATTTTCCAAAGAATATTTGATAATTTAATCTATTTTTTCATGAATTTCGTTACAGGTCAAGGCATAGTCAATACACAAGCTACTAGTTGTGGATGTTGTCCATCACCATACTGTCAAATGAAAGCAAAGCCATGTTCATTGAACTTAGACTGTGAATGCTTGCTGATGACAATGACTGGAAGAGGAATGTGTGCTGATACAGTTGTATCATGTACAGATTGACTTCCATGTGGAAATGATAATAAGACATGCTCGACACCTAATACTATATGTGTCAATAATACTCGATGCAACATTCCTGTTTGTTATCCAATAGAACGTGCCTCTTCCCAACGATGTCCACTATTAACTTCGACAAATTTAACAAATAGTCCACGTAAGTTTTTTCGACTTCGATGTTCACGAAAGCTATTATTTGAATTACATTAACAACAATGAAGATATCGCTCAAACTAACTAGAGAAATATCAGTAGTAACTAGTAACTTCTTCAAAACGAGCGATTTTTTTTTATTATAAGAAAAAAAGAAGGAAAGAAATAATGACTTGCGTATTACTTAAACATCAATCGCATCTATATAATATTATTTACGGTGAATAAATGAAAAAACTAATAAAGAGGATAAGGCGAATAGGATATGATGACTATCACAACACTTTGTCACGTATAACTTCTCCGATAAATTTATATCGATCAAGACCACAACATTAATGATTCGCTTCATTTTCAGAAAAAACGAAAAGATGATTATTTTTAAAGCTCTGAATATTCTAATCGCCAGCATAGAATTTATTAAATTGAATTTTTTGTATTTAGAGGTGACAAAAAAATCAAAAAAATGAATGTTAACCATCGATTTTTAAAAATCAAGACAATCAATTTCATGACTTTTATCCAAAAAAAAACCTGAATTCAGCTGTTTTCTATTTGGCAGACTTCGAATAACTCTATCATGAAACCAAGCAAGTTTGAAACCTTAGTCATAAGAGGAAGTGCAACTGCTAAAAATTCTAGTAGCCACTAAATATCAAAAAGCATCACGATCATGTTACTTATTCTAAATTATATATTCGATAAAATTCTGAAAACTGTAGCTCTTGTTGGCGAAGACATATATAAATAATGTCTCTAGATATCAGCGTCATAGAATAAGCGAACGTTGTAAAACTGGATTTCGAATTTAGCGGAAGATGTTTTGATAACACAAGAAATTCCTTGTATACGTATAAATTTGTTATCGATATCCTATAAAACTACTCCCTATTTAATTAATAAGATAATATTCGCATCAGAAATGTTCTATCGAGCATCCCTCTCTTGTCCAAGATTATACTTTCTTTCAGTACCTCATATGTGTGGAAATCTGACGAGAGCTAAATATCATTGTAAACAAAGAGGTATTTCCTACAAAAATGATATACAATGTCCATACGCAAATTCAAAGCTCACTGTATTGAAGTAATCCTTTCTAGAGTGGTCGAATACTAGCAGCATACTTGCAGTATGGTCTTATCACACTGCATCAACATTAAGCAGTGGAAAAGTGTTAGTTGCTGGTGGATTCGACTTTAGTGGCTATTTGAATAGTGCAGAGCTGTACGATCCAACAACTGGACTTTGGACACAGACTGGCAACATGACTACTGCACGGGTCTATCACACAGCATCGATACTTAGTAATGAAAAAGTCTTAGTTGCTGGTGGAGTTGGCAATATTTATGATTCTAGTGCAGAAATATATGGATGATCATTATTAGACTGGACTATTACGTATGAGACTCAAACTTGAACTTCTAAATCATATTCTACTATTTACTCTTCAATTACCTAAGCAGACAAATAAGGATTATAAGAATATTTAAACGTGTGTTTTGTTTCTATTGATATTCTAAGCGAATTTTTCATAGTTTTTTAAATAGTATACGTCGATTATAATGATTAAAATTTTAGTTCTAGTATCACTTTTGTCTTTTTCGGATTCATCTAATGTTTTCTCTCTTTTTTCTTTCTTGGAAACAAGTATATCTTTTTTCGATGATTAACTTGTAGATAGTGGCATAATTCTAACTATACACTATTATAACAATTTAAGATAGACAAGTGAAAATTTTACCATTTCTTTCGCAACTTACGTACACACGCACTTCCTCGCATATTACTTTATCCGTTTTCTCATTCGCTGTCCTTCTTGTATCTGAATTAATCGAGCAGAACGAAAAAGAAAACTACTTTCTTGATTATTATTCTTCGTATACTCGCTTATTCTTTTGTGAAACTCACATATATTCTCGAAGAATATAGTGAGTGTAGATTTTCAGTTGAACTTTTTTGGCTACTCACTCCCTTGCCCCATCCGATCACAGATATTTAACACTTCCACAAAAAAAAGGAAAATTTTCTGCTTAAAGTATAGAAATAAAGGGGACAGCATTTACTAACGATCAATTATCATTAGAAAGAACTATTGCCTTTTAGAGAATTAAAATATTGTATATTTTGTCATTAATATAATGAAGCTAAAGATTATATGTGGGCTTCATCTTTCAGCTCCAAAGAGGCTGCACTAATAAGCTTTTGTTTTACATGTTCAATTGTATTCTATCGTGCTTGTTGAAAATTGGAAATATTCAGTGAGAAAAGAATACTTTTTACTACTAACTTTTTTCGAGCTCCATTCTTTCAATGGATAACTGTCATTGGGTTGTCGAATAAGATATCATTGATCAACAATTTTTTTTATGAAGAATTATCTAGAAAGTATATATTTAATCATCGAATTTAATTTTTGCGAACCAGTATCACGCAGTGCTTTTCACTGATTTTATAGAAGACACAACTATCAAATATTCGATGAATGATAATCGGAACGATGGCAATGAGGAATGTGTAGATGAAGGTGACTATAAAGCAAAAGTGAGCGTGTGCATGTATGTGAATTTTGGTGTATGGTTGTGAGAAAATAGAAGACTGATACCTACATTCAAACAAACTGTGAGTTCTACTTGATATGTGCAGAAACAAAACACGTTAAAACAAGCAGAGATATCTCAGTTATATTATTTTTATTTTTATTAAAAAAAAAGACTCAAAAATTGAAAATGATCAAGCATCAAACTTTTAGGGAGTCAAAACTTGTCACCACATGTGTTTTCTCTTCATTGATAAACTGAATAAAAAACAGTATGGAATATACTGTACGGTAATCATTTAGAACATCTCAAAGCTCAAGATATTAAAACATTACGTAAATCTTACGTGATGCTGGCACATTTGTGACATGTTCCCACAGAGACATAAATTATGAGTATTCATGGTTCATATTTCATATTTAATGATAAGACCTAAGCTTGAAGCACTCAGAAAGTTATGAAGACAAGATGATGAATCCTTTTCTTATGTTACTATGTATCCTCTTTATAGTATATCTATATGATATAGATAAGAGCAGCTACCACTTTCAGATACATCAAGCACTTAAAGATCCAACCATTCTTAACTTTGATAGTTACAGTTATATGCCTGCTTTAGAGAAATGTGTTAGTTATCGACAGCTCCTTGATGAAATTGTATCTCTAGCTAAAAGAAGCCATATACAACGAATCACTCAAAATCCTGTTGTTTGCTTAAGATTTCAAGGGTGTGAATGGTGCTTGTCTTTATCGACATCCACACCCTATTTTCTTTTTCTTTTATTCTTCTGTTTTCACGATGGTGATTTAGAATATCATTCAATTACAGAATTTGATTATATCAAAAACACTTCTTTATTTATTGCTTTTTTCCTTGCGTAAGAGTATTGAAATATGAGCTGATTTTATTTATAGAAAACATCTTGATTTTTTTGGCGATTTGTTTTTATGTATTGACTAAGTTTGACGTCATATATCTATATTATTTGCAAAGTCATAATATTTGATTGTTTACGTAAGTTAAAATAAAAATGTTCTGATAAATGATATAAATATATTTGAACTGTACTATTGCATTTAGATGAATGAAATAATTTTACATTTGTTGATCAATTTAAAACAGTTTACAATTCTGTTTTAGATTTGACGATTATTTACTTTAATTGGTTAAAATAAATCATCAAACATTGAATAAAATATGCTTTTGCAATCGTTGGGAATTTAATAAAACTTAATGATATTTTTCGTTTAAATACTATTTCATGAAAACCTTGGCGTTAATTTCAGCAAAAACAACGTTAAATATTTTTTATTTTTACATGATTAGGGTGTCTTTAAAATACAATTCAGACATTGATTTTTCTCTTTTCTTCTGTTTCATTCTATGGCGTTGGTCTATTTCAAAACATAGAGAATCGTTTATATTGATCAATTTAGGACACTTCTGCTTGTTGATAGGCCAAAAATAAACTAGTAAATGAGTGTAAAATGCATGATTGGGTAAGATTCTTCTATTCACCTTTTTTTTCTTACAGCAATCAATTACACACTTATTATATACAGGACCCAATATTTTAAACGTATACCTCGTTCTTTTTATTAAATACATACTACCTTGCGCACATGGCTCGTTTATCAAACTTATTATTTATTTTATTGATTGCTGTATCGTTACTTTATGTTTCAGCCAACGTTGTTATATATACTGTCACTTTTGTTTCATGTGTTCAAAATTCAACTTGCCCTCAAGGAAATCCAACTTTCTTCAATCAGACTTTTTCTTTAAATGGTACTCTCAGTCCAAATCTAACTTTAAACGTTGGTGATCAATTAATATTCAATTTGGCAACAAATGTTCCAATTCATCCGTTAACAATCTGTCAAAACAGTTCCATACCTAAATTTTGTCAAGGAAGTGATACCACTAATCAACTTAGTACTCCAATTACTCAAGCAGGTACTAATGCTGCTGCTACTTTCATGAATGCTGGTATTTATTATTATGGATGCAAAAATCATCCTGGAATGGGTGCTATAATTAGTATTGTTCAAACAACTACTTCTACACTACCACCTGGCGGTCCTGGTACTAGACATAAATGTTCTGGATACCTCTTGCTCATCACTATTATCACTTTAATCGCAACTATTTTCATCTAAAATCGATGCATTTCTCATTCACTTTGAATTTCTGTGCTTAATATGCTGTGATTCTCGCTTTTCTTTTTTTTTTCAATAAAGTACATATTTTATTTGCATAATGAAATCATAGTTGAGGCACCAAGAATTAGTTGAGCGAGATGGAAGAGGTGAAAATTGTTTCCATATCTACTCTCACACAGTGACGCAGCCAGGATTTTTCGGTATGCTGGATCTCAGCTTCAGAGCATAGGACCTAGATGAAACTTATGGAGGATGATATTGGACTCCAATAATGAGTCTTTATGAAAAAACTTTTTGCAATTGAAGTTTGTGAAAAAAAAATATTTTTTGGTTTTTATAATATTACGTTTTTTAAAGTTTTTTCGTAATCTATATCGAATTTCATCGATAGATTTAAAACTTCTTTAACAAAAAAATGCATCCGTTCAGAAGTTGTAACGTTTTGAATTTTTGTAAAATGTTGCAAAAATTTTTGGAAATATTCGGAACGCTATGACTTCTGAACGGATGCATTTTTTTTATGAAATTTTAAATCTATCGATGAAATTCGATGTAGATTATGAAAAAACTTTAAAAAACGGAATATTACAAAAACTAAAAAAAATTTGTGGAGGATCAAAAAAATATTTTTTTTTTTCGCAAACTTCAATCACAAAAATTTTTTCATAAAGACTCATTATTGGATTCCAATATCGTCCTCCATAAGTTTCACTTAGGTCTCATGCTCTGAAGTTGAGCCTCAGCTTACCGAAAATTTCCGACTGCGTCACTGCTTCACTCCCTCTGTCTTTACTTACAAACAATTGGTATTTATATCAGATGTTAGAAGAAAGGTGAAATTTATCAAAATAGATAATGTAATACAATTGGAAAAACACATGAATGATCATATTAGGGTGTGAGTATGAGTCTTCTTTTTCTCAGCATTTCACACGCACACCCACATCTCATTATGAGCTTTTTTAATTCCTATGAGATTACTCTTGTTTATTGATAAATAACTTATTTTATAAGACACTAAGAAATTTGATATAATTCAAAAAAAAACAATAGAATACATCGTTGCAAATCGTAACAAATGTAAGTTTTAAAAGAAAAATAAAATTTTTAATCTATGTAAGGTTAACTGTAGCTTATGGAGGCATGAATTTTTATTCCTTAAAGATTTTCGATCGATGAACAATTAGTAGATGACGTCCATTGTTAATAATAAAAAAGGGTTACTCTCAACTTGACTTTAGTTTGAAAGAATGTTATTCGAAGTAAATTCTTATTTTGCAAGCTTAAGTTAAGCAGTATGATTTGAATAAAACAATTAATCAATTTCAAACAAAGTGTATCGATGTAGTCGTTCGATAATCGACTTTATCATTTAAAAACAACAAGAAGTTTTAATTAAATTGATTAGGCAAAAGAACAAAATCAAAGAGAATTTTATCGGTACTACATAGAGATCTTTGTCAGTTGCAACTATAATCGTAAATAAAATCAAATTTTATTATTTAAAATGAATTAATTATATTAATTTAAAAATGCATTTAATATTCAAATTAGCGAACTTCAAAATTATAAAAAAAGAAACATATTAATTTATTTAAGAAAATGAATTACTGTAACATTTTATGTTTCAATGGTTACAGAAAGCATTTAAGATATTGAAAAAAATTGTCAAAATTTTTGAAAATGTGCATCGACTATATTAATAGAAACAGAGCAAGTTGAATTGATAGATAACTTATGAAAATATTTTAGATAGTTTTCTTTTTCCCTATGACGTAAATTCAATTACCAACACTCCAATCAGCTTTTATAAAATTTGATGAGTTTCTTTTTTAAAAAACGAATCCTCATCCTTAACAATTATGACAAGAAGTAAATGGTTTTAAGAGAAAAGAGATACAGATGGTAACATTTCCAAGCATATAAGCACCGAAATATAATTATGTAAAACGGGAATATGTAAATATTCTTATATATTCACTTAACAAAAGTACATGTGTCATCCTATTCATCGATTAGTAATAACATTACTGATTCATTACAGTATTATCAGCAATTTTCGAAGCATTTTTCTAAATATTATCGTAGCAATGATAAGTATTCAACCACAATGTGCATCTCTGACAGATAACATACAAATCTGTTGTTTCGAATAAACTTTCCGTCTGAATGATCAATACAAAGATTATTATCAGTATCTTAACAAGATGGTTCTTGATGATGATCGCATTGCAAAAAAAATAAAAAACGATATCATATATCATTATCATCATCATCAGAGAACATTGTTTTTTTTTGTCTTAAAAGTCTTTCCTATAATTTTATTGATTGATAATGTCAAGTTAAATATTATAGATCATCAAATCACGGTTATGAACGTCAATTAAATACTTGTGTAAATATAAAATGATGTAGATTTTCGAGAAATGATCAATAACGTCAATAAGTACAGATAAAAAACATAAATATTTACTTGAAAATATTCAATACTTTTAATATTTCAAATTATGTCTTCATTTGACTATGTTCATGACAGAATAATCTTCATGATACAATAGGAAGTGATACTAGAACTTCTTGTCACTTGTGCAATCTGAGTTGCTGTTAAATACTTACCGAAGAGTAGACTTCTGCAAAATGGTCACGGTCACGGTCTCTCGTGACCGTGATCGTATCTTATTGGTGAAGAATTTTAATGTTAAAAATCTGATTTTTGTGAAAAAAATCAAGATTTTAATTGATTTGTGGGTTTTCTTTGTTTTACTACAGAAGAAATCTACGAAATCAATTTAAATCTTGATTTTTTAGCACAAAAATTGAGCTAGTAATCCAAAATCTCCGTGACCGTGACTAATTTCGAAAAATCACGTGACTATGAACGTGACCGTGACGTGACGTGACTGAAAAATCGTGGTCACGCAGAAGTCTACCGAAGAGTTCTCTGTACGCCAAGAAGAAAATCGTCATTGACGAAGAAAGTTAATCTTACTTACCATGTTTTGTCAAATCTCTTAGCTCTACTATAATTGTAAGATATTTCTCAGGTCAACTTTGCTCTTTGAAACGAGAAACCTATAGAATTTCTACGAAGAATTGTCGTTATTCTGTATTGAAAATTTTTTTATAATAATGCTTCAAACAAATCTGATTAATAATAGATATATAGTATTTCCTTCTACAATCAACTAATATACGTTTATTTTTACTAAACATTTGAGTTATGCACTATGAAATTTAAAGATAAATTCAAAAAGGATATGCAAAAAATTGAAATTCGCTTTCTTTTTATTGGTTAGCATAGTTCTAATACGAACAAAATCTTGTATAATTCAAATTTTTCATCAGATATTGAATTGATTATATTTTTACTGTTTTTTTTTAATACAAACTTTATGAAAGTTATCATATAATATAATTTTTAAGATTTAAAGATTGATCTTATGTACTGAATAAATTGTACTTAAATAAATGCTTTTTTCTTTTTCTTTTTCTTTTTCTCTTTTTTTTTTGTTTTTCTTTTCGTTCTTCGTTTTCTTTTCATATTCTTTTCATTTATAATTCATTTTATTTCTTCGTCAGACAGTTGACTACATTACGAACGATGACGTCATGTGACACATTATCACCAGGCAAGTTTGCTAAACATGTTGTCTATCAAATATGTCTCGGTTTTTCATGTGCTATACGAGGTTTTATTCTTTCATGGAATAATGCTTGTAAGTAATAATTTATTGTTTTTATAAATACAAAAATTTAAATATAATAAATTTTAGATGTATGGCAAACACAAAAACGTTCACTTGTATCACTTATTGTGTGTACAATTATTATTTATACTATACTTGTTATTACATTTCTACCATTTCGTTTAATTGTTTGGCTTATTTCATTTGCTTATAAATTTGCACCATCAGTAATTGAATGGTTCGAACATGTTTCATCAGCACGAACACTTCTATTTAAACTTTTATCATTTATACCACTTCTTGCTGTATTTATTATGAATAATTTATTAGGTATATTAAATACTTTTTAGTTTAGATATTCTTTTTCTTTTTGTTTTTAAAATACAATTACTAACTATATTCTTTTTTTTATTCAATAGGATATGATAAATTATTTTTTTCTGTACTTGGATCTGTTAATCCATCATTAGCCGAACGTCTTAATTCACGTGCTCGACAATCATTTACAAGTTCATTATATTTTTTTCTTCGTCGTACTCTATTAATTTTTTTAACTGTAACATGTATTCATTTTCTTCGTTCAATACCATATTTAGGTGAACTTATACCAGCTCTTTGGATATTAAAATATGCACGTTATACAATAACAAATACAAAACATGTTTATTTACGTACAATATTTTTTATTTTACTTATTCTATTAACAATTTTTAAATCATTACAATCATATACAATATCAATATTACATTTACAAATGGCAAGTACAGCATTAGCACGTGAATTATTTGATACATATTTATCACGTATACATACACATACATTAAAAAATTATCATCCAATAAATATACAAATATATCCATTACCATTAAATTATCAATTTTTAGGTTTTTTTCTTCCAAAAATTTTTCATCCATTATTTAATTGGAAAATGAATTCTAATAATGATATATCATCTGATGAATTAATATTACCACATAGAAAAATAACACATTTTTTACGTGAAAATTATTTTCTTTTACTTGCATTTGCATTTCCATATATATTTGTTTTTTCAATACCATTATTAGGATTTTTTTGTGTAGGATTTGCACATGGTGCTGCTGCTTATACACTTGCTATTATTACACAATAAATAATAACACAAAAAAAAAAATTTTTATTTTATTTTTTAGATAGACAAAAATCAAGACTATTTATATTCATTTATGGATCGACAAGAATTTTTTCAATCATATATGGATCATTGGGGTATAACAGATGTATTATTAGATTGTTATGTTGATTTATTAACTATGGAAATGATTGATGAAA